TATCTATCTATCTATCTATCTATCTATCTATCTATCTATCTATCTATCATTGATCTATCAAAAGGTACAGAATTTTCAAGAGCCATGGAAACAATACCATGTGTAATTAGCATGAAAAACCCCAAAGACAGTGGCCTTTGATTATTTCAGCTTTAACTCTTTTATGTACACAGTGGTAGCAGAATAGAGATAGAAAGTAAGATGCCAGATGATCCCTCCTTTATTCTGCACTATGAATAAACTTTTGATAGACAGTAATAATGTATCCAACAAATAATACTATCCCCAGCAGACATCAATAATAGCCAGAAGGAATCTGATAGAAAACTTAGCCACCTAATAGCTATTAACTATTAATGTAGCTACCTTCCTTAATTTGGTCTCATACAATTTTAAAGTCATTAGAGCTAGTGATCCTCAAAATATGCTGCTGTGCATATGCAAATCCATTATGCTCAATAAGGAAAATTACTGCTTTGCCAACATCTGATAAATAGTAGATTTATTGGATCTTAGTTCTAGTGTCATTGCAGACAGAGGTGGAGGAAAACAGTGGGGGAAACTGGGGGAAAAAACAAAGGTGGGGGAAAAAAACCTCCTTTTTCCACTGTTCAGCATATTATTTATTAAAAAGACTTTTAGTCTACCTTTTAGGGTATCTGCCTTTAAAGCGGTCATCTAATCATATAACTGAGGATTATTAAAATTACATTAAGATAACAGATAATTGATACTAAAGGCAGTAAAAAATGCTTGAATACAGTAGCACACAATGTTCAAATAACATTGATATTCTAAAGATATGTGGCCAGTACTCAGAAGAAGTCCTTATTTATCAGCTCTAACTAATAGATCAAGAATGGGATTGAATGCAGACAATTTAATATGAATGAAGTTGGTATTCGGGACAGTATCTCAGGCTCAAAAGAAATAGGTATACAGTGAAACTTCCTATGGAAGAGGCACAGTTCAATGTGAATACACAGTTCCTGTAAAATTTCTGTGGCTGAACAACGCATTCTAGTCATTTGAATGGACAGTTCCAATAACATTATAAATTGTATTCATTATTCTGCATACATTATTCATTGATGCTTCATTAATTATTAATGTATCAGTTGGGCACATTGAATGATAGAGTTGAAAAAGGCCATTTTGGCCACTGAGTCCAACTCTTTCTTCAGG